TCGAGACATCCTCGAAATTCCTGCGCGCGGGACGCGGCACGCGCGAGACATCCTCGGAATTCCTGCGCGCAAATTATGAAAAACAAGCGTTTCGCTCGAGACATCCGGTCAAAATTCTAAGAAATCCTGACAAAACAAACGAATTAGTCGAGACATCCTCGAAATTCCTGCGCGCGGGACGCGGCCCGCGCGAGACATCCTTGGAATTCCCGCGAGCGGGACACGAAAACAAGCATTTCGCCTGAGACATCCTCTGAATTCTGGCCCCCCGCTCGAGACATCTCCAAATTTTGCGGAAACCAGCGTTTCGCTCGAGACATCCTCCACAAACTATGTAAAATAAGCGTTTCGCTCGAGACATCCTGCCAAAGTTCTAAGAAATCCTGACAAAACAAGCGAATTAGTCGAGACATCCTCGAAATTCCTGCGCGCGGGACGCGGCACGCGCGAGACATCCTCGGAATTCCTGCGCGCGGGGCGCTTTTCCGAGTCGCGGTCGGGGCTCCAGACCCCGTTATTTTTCGAGGATTCTGCGAAAAACGCTCCGCACCCTCTTTTTTACGAGGGAAAGCGGGGGTCTGCGGACCCCGTTATTTATCGAGGATCCGAGATGGGGGGCGAACTTTCCTCGAGCGGGCACGCACAAAACGCACTTTTTCCAAACAAATCAGCACTTTACCTCGTTATTTATCGCAAATAATTTCGCCGGCGCTTGACCCGTCAGAACCGGGGGTAAACAGCTAAAAGAGAACCCTGGGCCCAAGCCCTTTCCGGGAAAAAAGCGAGAGATGGGCGTAGCTCTTAGGTGGCACGACTCGAAGCCACGGCACGGGGTAACTTTCCCACTGCGCCTGAGCCTGCTGTCTGATGCACTCGCTCTTCTCGAACTCTTCAAAGCCGAAATTACACGGGCACTCCCAAACTCGGTGAGAGAGAGTTTCTGTGCCCTGGAGGCACCTTGGGCACAGCGTGTCAACCTCGTATCCTAAGGCCGCCTGTCTTTCTCGAGTGAACTGTCTGCATCGAGGCCGCCTGCCTTTCTGCAGCTTTCTGGGGCCCTATTAGGTCGCGCGCTTCCTTCGCGAGAAACTTGCGAATTTGACGACCAGCCAAGAGCGCATCCCCTCCCCCAAGCTCTAGCCTCTCACCCCCATAATGAGAAGCGGCCTGGGCCCAAAACAGGGGCGACAAGTCCTTGGCCAGATCGCTGAGCAGCTCGGTGAAATCGGCGCCCCCTTGCCCAATCCCTCATCGCTCGCGCAACGCAGCCTCCAAACCTCGCCCCCGCTCACGGTCGGGCGGCGCCGCGAGTCCGGGGCAGGCGGGGCCCGCCCGGCTTCGTAGAGCGACGCGAACGCCGCGCTGACGGGACCTCGCACTCGACTCCACCGCGGTTGAGCAGGCCAGAGACGGGGGGTCAGATGCTTCCACGCCGCTCGGACACGGTTGCGAAGCAGTGGCGAGGATTTCCAAACTAAACGAAACTCGAGGACCAACTGGCGCCGCAACTCGAGCCCAGGATCTTTGACCCCCGAGCGCACGGCGAGCACAGTAGTCAGACAACGCCCAAGCCCCGTTCCAGCGATAGCCTGGCCAGCCTGGCGCCTAAGGGTTTGAATATGGTTCGGGCTTGCGCCATGCACCCGGTGTCCGCGCGCAGCTTTGGGGTGGGGGGTGGGGGGGGGGGGGCCTGTGGCCCAGAGGGGCTGCGAAATCTTCGACAGCTTGGCCGAGCGCCTGAGCTTCCTGATGCGACGGAATCTCTTCGTGGTCTTCACCAGCCTACTCTTCGCACGCTTGAGAACCCTAGCCTTGCCCACCGAGGCGTCGCGCCCAAGGTCAACCGCCGACGTCTCAACCACGCGCAGAACATCGGCAGCCTTCAACGCCTGACTTCAAAGCTCTGACCTGGGGCGATGAGGCCAGGACCGTGGTCTCATCGGAGATGACCTGCCTAGCATCCGGCGAACCTTCCGCTACAACTTTCGCAGAGGCTGCCACGGGCTCTACTACGCTGTCTGCCGCGCCTTCGGCCCTCGAGACCGCGTCGTCGATGGAGCGCAAGATCTCGGCGAGGGTGGCGCGGCCTTTCTCCGAAGTCTCGTCGGGGGTGGCAGGCAGCCCGCGCGTTCCAGCAGCGTCGATCGCGCGTCGGTTGCGCGATGGGATCTGAATCGCCGCGCCCCCAGACCAGGGCGATCAGTTGTAGAATGGAACACCTCGTAGTCACTGTCAAACAGGTTGAGGTGTTTGCGCAGTGCCTGCTCATATCCGTGGACTTCCTGAAGCAGCGCGACTCAACGCTGCCGCGGAAGCTCCGAAGTCATTTACACCTTCCCCCGCCTCCCAGGGTCGCGCCGAATCAGGAACCCGCTGGCATCCCATGTCGCCGCCGAGAGGCCGCGAGAAGATGCCCGCAACTCCCATGGGGCCCACCGACCAAGACCACGTCCAGGACGATGTGTCAACCTCGCGCCATAGGTCATGGAATTGTTCCGCGATGGCGCCACGGTCGACCTGGAGGTGATTGGCGGCAGCCATGTCCCATGCCATCTTCGAAGGTTCCTCTGGGCCCTGGACCTGCACCTTCGCGATCGGGATTCCAGCGACGTGCACTCGGCGCCTGGCACTCCTGAGCAGGAACCCCATCTTCGCCTGGACCTCGCGGCGGACATCCTTCCCGTCTATGTCACCACTGGCGTGCAGCGGGGCCACGGAGCCCGCAGCAGAGTTTACCGAGAGCCTGCGCCATTGGTTGTCGCCTGGAAGCCTGAGCGCCGCCTGGGGCGCCCCAGCGCGCAAGACACCCGCAGCGCCTCCGTGGAAAAGAAGGTGGGAAGCTGCTGGGGGCCACCGCCGATGAGGGTAGCCATGTTGTCGGACGCGCTTGCAGCCTATCCGACAAAGCCTCAAGGTCAACGCGAAGAGCCGCTGGCGATTCACAGGTGAGCACAAACAGAGCTGGTTCCACGACCCGATTCCAATCAGCGAGCTTGACGGGATCCAGAGGCGCCGCGATTTGCCCCTCCGCGATGGCCAGCGTCTCCCCGATCTTCTTGATCGAGACGCCGATTGTTGCCTGATCCTTCCCCGGCTTCTCATTGCAAGCTCGGGCTCTACGAGCTTCAGCCCACTGCTCCTCCAGCCTCGCCACATGCGGCGCATTTTTTTGCAAAAGACAGCGCGAAGCTCCAAGCGCACAGCGGGGATGGTGTCAGCAAAAGCCGATGGTATATACTTTTGCATATTAAGCTTGAAATCAACCATGTGCTCCTCGACCACGTTAAAGCCCTGTCCCTGCTGGATGGGAGCGGCGCTACTTTCATTATCAGGAACGGCAGCCTCGCCCGCGGCAGAAAGGGGCCGAACGACATGGGTCACGGGCCAATGTGACGTCATGTCCCCCCCCCCAACATTTTGGACGACGATCAATGGAGAGGAAGCATGTTGCCAAATAGCTGCCGGCGGTCTAATCTAAGAAGTGTTTTCACATGTATTGAAAATGTACAACATGTGTACATCGTGTTGGCAACATATCCCAAATTCATGCTTCTTGGGCGCCCGAGTTATCCGGGGTAACTCGGGTCCGGGGTAACTCGGGCTTGGGTTCCCGAAAAACGAACCCGAGTTAGCCCTGACCCGAGTTACCCCTGATGATTCGGGGCTCTGGACGCCCGAGTTATCCGGGGTAACTCGGGTCCGGGGTAACTCGGGTTCGGATTCCCGAGAAAGGAACCCGAGTTATCCCTGACCCGAGTTACCCCTGATGATTCGGGGCTCTTGGGCGCCCGAGTTATCCGGGGTAACTCGGGTCCGGGGTAACTCGGGTTCGGACTCCCGAAAAACGAACCCGAGTTATCCCTGACCCGAGTTACCCCTGATGATTCGGGGCTCTGAGCTTCATTCAATGACATGACTACCGGGGTGTCCATTGTCATGGTATCCACAACTCCAGCAGGACGCCTGCCACGGATGCGCTCTCCGCTGCGGATTTTGCCGCGAGGCTCCTCGTCGCCGGACCCAGCGCCGCCGGCCTCGGCAACAGCGCGGCCGCGGGCCGCCGTGGCGCGGCCGAGCATGGCGCCGCGGCTTCGAAGAGTCCGCTGGCGTCCGACGCGCCAGGCATCCTGAAAGGAAATGTTGCCCGCTCGCGCGTGCGCTGCTGCACGCTTGAGCCAAACTGGCAACGGGAGGGGAGGAGGAGGAGGAGGAGGAGGAGGAGGAGGAGGAGGAGGAGGAGGAGGAGGAGGAGTTGCGAGATGCGAGTGCCAAGGACAGGGGACGTCCTACAAGGGAAAAGGGGGAGGGGCTTACGCCGACGGCGGGTGGCTGGGCGCGGGCGGGGCGGCCGTCCTCGCAGGTATTGAGGACGTCGCGGCCGCGCGCACGCGCTCGTGCTCCGCTCGCAGCGCGCATCCACCGTCCTCCATCTACCGTCCTCCTCTTCAGGCCCTTCCCCTCCCGATTCCCTTCCTCCCAATCCCTCCCCCCTTCTCCTCGTTCCCATCCTGGTCGACCTCTGCCTCCTCATCTTTCTCCTCCTCCTCAAGCTCCCCCTCTTCCTTCTCATCGTCGTCATCGTCGTCGTCGTCCTCCTCTTTCTCCTCCCCCTCCACCTCCCACTTACTCCCTCTTACTCCCTCCTCTTCTTCCTCCTCCTCCTCCTCTTCCTCCTCTTCGTCTTCCTCGTTTTCCTTCTCCTCCTCCTCCTCCTTTTCCTCCTCCTCCGCCTCGACCGTTTTCCTTATCCCTGCTCCTGCTGCTCCTCCTCCTCCTCCTTCTCCTCCTCCTGCTCCTCCTCCTCCTCCTACTCGTCCTCCTGCTCCAAGCTCCTCCCACGCATTCTTCCCTCCTCGCTCCTCCGTCCTGGACCGCCTCCCACGTCCTCCCGCCTGGACCTCCCCATCCCGGTTCTCTCCATGCCCTCCTCCCCCTTCCCTCCTCCCTCCTCCCCCCTCGACCTCCTTTTCGAGTTCCCCCTTCTCCCGCCCCGTTCGGTCCAGCCAGAAGTTCTGGAGGTAGCCCACGCACGCGAAGAAGACCAAGATCGACCAAGGTCCGACGGAGTCGGCGCCGTCACGGCCGAGTGCCCTGGCGGCGGGCGCGGGCAGGGGGCGATAGCAGGAGGCCGCGGGAGGCGCGGGGTGTGGGGGTACGTGGGTAGGGATGACGAGGAGGAATGAAGTGAGGGATGGTGGATGACGGGAAGGGGCATGGAGGAGGAGTAGGAGAAAACGCGATAAGCAGTGCATGAGGGAGGATTACCATGAGAGAAGGATAACGAAGGGGGCATAGAAAGGCAATGCTATATGTATGTCTACACACATACACATTTATATAATGCAGAACGACGGGATAGAAAGCGAGCGAGCGAGCGAGCGAGCGAGGTAGATGCATGAACAGTTGTATGCACAATTCTATAGATATGCATCGGATGATCTGTATATAGAAAGAAGGACAACAATGGACGGGAACGACAGATAATGGGTGGACATGTACAAAGAGAGAGAGAGAGAAGAGGGAGAGAGAGAGAGAGAGATAGACAACAACAAAAGACAAACAACAACCATACCAACACCAACAACAGCAACAACAACAACAACAACAACGACACCAACAACAACAACAACAACACCAACAGCAGCAGCAGCAACAACAACAAACAACAGAGAGAGAGCCAACCAAAGATGAATATGGAGGGAGGGAGAGGGAGAGACGGAGAGACATGTATTGAGATAGTGGCACCTGTATCTGAACAGAGACATCTGATTGTAACCACCACCGTACCCTCAGCACGTAGTGAAGAAATGCCGCAAGGCTTGCGCAATCTTTGTGAGATTCTTACGGGCCTGGACCACGAAACCCCAAGACTGGGTAGTCGAAGCCAATCTGGCGCCAATCTGGCAGGCCCAATCTGGCAAACGAGGGCAATCTGGTGAGGGAGCCAACGCGAAATCCAGTCTGGCGAATAACCCAAATCCTCCGATTTGGCCGGGCCAGATTGGCCCTTAGGGCCCAATCCCAAAGGGCTCCCAACTTCGCGCTTCGCGCTGCGCGAAGCGCGAAGCGCGAATAACTTCGCGCTCTCGCGCCGCCCCCCCAGAGGGAGAAGAGGAGGACGAGGAGGAGGGGGAGGAGGAACGAGGACCGCGAAGCGCGAAGCGCGAAAAACTTCGCGCCCTCGAGGGAGCCCTTGCATCTGCAAGTCTGGCCTTCGACTGCCCAGCAAGACCTCCCAGGCGCTCCTGGGCTGTGCTGTGGGGTGCCCCGCGTGGGCCTCCGGGACGGCCACCTGTTGGCCCGGGCGGCCCCCAGACGTGCCAGAAGGAGCCCCCAAGACAGCCCAAGAATCGGGTCTGACTACCTACCAGACCACCCCAACCCAACCCGAAGACCCGAATTTCGGGTTGGGGGGGGTAAGGGTTCCACATGTGTTTTCTCGATGTTCCCCGAACCCCCCCCCCACTGGAAATCGAGGGTAAATCTGAGCCTTCGGGTTGGGTTGGGGTGGTTTGGTGGGTGGTGAGGGTCGGGCGAAAGGGGGGGGATAGCAAAGGGGGGGTTGAGAAGCAGCTCACGCAGCTGATGCTCCCTGCGCCTCCCGGCGCCGGAGACAGCCATGTATCGAGGGATGGGCCCCTCGGTGAGGCCGAATCCAGCTGCATGCAGCAGATCTCGTAACCCCCCCTTTCCCTATCCCCCCTTTCGCCCGGCCCGAAAGAAGGCCCCAAGTCACGGAGAAATCGCGTCAAGAAGCGCAAGATGGCCTCAGCACGGCCCAGGAGGCCTCCAAAACGCTCCAAGAAGGCGCAAAGAGACCGCCCAGTAATGCCCGAAAGGGAACATTGCATTGAACTCATTCTGGTTTGGGAGCGATTTCTGTGCATTCGCATTTTCGTCATCCCAACACCCGAGGCCGCCGAAATCGCACCAAAACTCTCTAAAAAGGCGCAGCACTACCCAAACGGCCTCCATGACTGCCTCAAGGGGCTCCCAGACGGTTCCAAAGAACTCCGAGAATGACGGTTCCAGAGAACTCTGAGAATGACCCTAGCCCTTCGCCCCGACAAAACACCAAACTGCCTGAGGAGGCCCCCATGGTACCCCCAAGAGGCCACAACGGGGCACCCAAAATGCCGCCAGGAAACCACAAGAGGCCTTCAAGAAACCCTAGAATATCCAGACTCACCGCACCAGCTCAGCTTGCAGTCGACGACTCTCCGGCGTCTCCACGTCCACGAGAGCGGCAAATCCGCTCGCGGTCTCTCGAGAGACTCGGCGCCGACACAGGCACACTGTACAGCCGAAGATCGTGCAGGCGAGAACGAAACCTACCCACACTCCGAGCCAGAACAGTCGAAAGCCCATGACGCACCGGACAGGGGCTCGCAAGAGGTAGGGGGCGACGGCGATGTAGCCGCCGCAGCGATGATCTGCGCGATGCAATCTTCCAGCTTCTCCAGACCAAAGGGGCTCGCCGCCGACGGCAGCTCGCACGGCGCGACCGCTGGGCACTGCCAGGACGGGCAGGCGCACGTCGGACAAGCCAGTATCACGGGCGCGACCGGGCACGAGAGACTGGGGCAGTCAGGGGCCTTTTGGCGACCCCGCTCGAAGTAGTGGCCCACATGGAGGACAGCGTTCAGCACAGGCCCGACAGCAACGACAGACGGTTCAACTCCCACACCTCGCTGAAGGAAAAAGAGAACCATAGCTACTGGGCATATGTATGTATGTATCTGTCTAACATTGATATATCTGTAGATGTATAGATACATATCTATACATACCTTAAACATGAGGGAGGAAGGGAGGGAGGGAGAGAGAGAGAGAGAGGGAGACAGAAAGACATGCAAATACAACCTACACGGAGAGCCACCCACCAGGATATCGGTTTCAATTTCTTGATCGTGCGCGCGTGCGGGTTAATCGAAGCTGCGTGAACGGGGAAGAGGAATAGTCCCGCAGTGGCCAGGGTGACACTGGCCCAAATGATGCTCCCCCACGGGTGTCCGGCGGTGGCCCTGTGGTGTCCCGATGGTGCCCCGTGGTGCCCCGTGGCGCGGTGTCCCGTGGTAACCCCTGGTGTCCGGTGAGGTCGATATTGAGATCGACAGTGAGATCGATGGTGAGATCGAGAGAGAGACCGAGATTGAGATCGATAGCGAGATCGATAGTGAGATCGATAGCGAGTGAGATCGATGGTGAGATCGATAGGTAGATAAAGAGTGCGATCGATAGCGAGGTCGACATATAAGTCGATAGTGGGATCGTTCGATAGCAAGATCAACAATGGAGGGAACTTAACGATACAATTGAGGGAGGTCGATAATACTATTGGTAGTGGAACCGACAGCGAATTCGATAGTGAGACAGATAGGTGGATACAGTGAGATCAATGGTGAGATCGATGGACACATCTGTAGAGAGCTTGATAGTGAGATGGATTGTGAGATCGACGTTGCGTGATGCACTGCTACTGCTGCGCGCTGCCCCTTTGCGATGCCCCGCTCATCACCAGCATCGTCGCCATCATGCGTCGTCGGCATCTCGCGAGCGCATCACCAGCACCCTCACCACGAAAATCATCGCACTTGTCCTCAAGTGTCTTCCCCCAACAAACAAGCTCCGCATTACGCGAAGGGTGGCCGTATAGGTTTATACCTTAGACACATGCCAACTATCCTTGCATATGTGACATTTACGTGTAGGAAAAACAGAAGCGAGAAGGAGGGAGAGAGAAACAGAGAGAGCAAGACGAACCCAGAGAGAGAGAGAGAGAGACTGAGAGGGAGGTAGGGACAGAGAGAGAGAGATAAGCAAAGACATAACGAGCGATAGAGAGACTGTGTAGGGACGGCGGGGATCGGATCAGCAGCAAGTAGACAGGGAGCATCGAAACGTAAAAAAGGACATTTCGGTGTTCAAGCCAACTGCGGACAACACATGCATGCATGCGCAAACAGCATACGGAAGAGGAGGCACTGCGACGACACGCCGCTGACGCGCTCCAAGCTGACGCGCCGCCTCCAACACGCTGTGAAGGGGTCGCATAGGCTCCTGGCATTGCCTGAGTGTCCCGAGAAGGAAAAAAGAGAGGCGAGCAGGACGAGCGAGAGGGAGAGAGGGAGGGGAGGGAGGGAGGGAGGGAGGAGGAAGAAGAGGAGCAGGAGGAAGAGCAGGTTGAGGAGGAAAAGCCTCTGACGAGGGCTGGGCCGTCGTGCCATGGGGCTTCGGCGGCCGCCCGAGGTGCTTCGGGCACCCCCGCGAACGCTCTTCGGTGGGGCGCGGCTGCTGGACAGCGTCCCAGGGCGATCACACCTGCAGGAGCCGACGACGACGCCCGAAAACTGGCGACGACGACGACGAGGACGACGACAAGCACGGCGGCGACGAAGACGACAACGACGTTGACGACGTTGACGACGACGACGACGACCACCACGACCACCACGACGACGACGACGGCGGCGCCGACGGCGACGAATACGGCGAAGACGACGGCGGCGGCGGCGGCAGCCACCAGAGCATCCACTCGCTCAGCGCCACCCCGCCGTGCAGGCCGAAGGTGGCACACAGCACCAGCAGCCCTCGCTCCTACGCGCGGGGAGGGGGGAAGGAGACGCCGGAGGGCCGCTGCGATATCGCCGCAGGCCGCCGACGACGACGGCACCGATGCCGCTGCGACGTCAAGGCCAAGGCAGACGCCAGCGACGAGGCCGTCGTCGATGCAGCCGCGGCCGCTACCGACGTTGACGCCCTCGAATCGTCGACGACGCCGTTGATGTCTTTGGACGTGTCTGGGAGACTCTCGTCGTCACGGCTGGACGCGGTCCAAGAAACTGACCAGGATGGACCGTGTGTGGGGGGGTCAACCACGTCGCCCAGCAGCACGACGGCCACCAACATCTCGACGAGGAGCAGCACGTCGGAAACCAGCAGGCCGACCCCAATGTCCACGAGGGGGGCGAGTGACGTCTCAAGTACTGCAGCGCTGACGCCGCGACTGGCACAAGCAGCGCATCGGTGGCGAACGCGCCAGAAAGAAGCAACTCGACCATGACGACCACGAGAAAGGGCGAGCACGGCCGGACCACGTCGCTGAGCAGCACGACGGGTGCGAACATCTCGACGTGCAGGAATGCGTCGGCGAACACTGTCTCGGGTACCACGTCGCTGAGCTGCACGACGGGCGCTAGCATCTCGACGTTGAGCGGCACGTCGCTGACCACCGCGGCGGGTGCCAGCGGCGCCTCACCGAGCGGCGCATCGGAAGGCACCGCAGCCCTTGACGTGCACCAGCGGGGCGGGCACCGCCTCGATTAACGCGTCAATGAGCTGCCCGACAGGCGCTAGCATCTCGACGTTGAGCAGCGCCTCGCTGACCTCCACGGCGGGCGCTAGCAGCCCATCTCTGCGCAGCGCGGCTGGGATCGCCAGCGCCCTGACGTGCACCGGCAGGCCGGCCGCTGCCTCGAGGGCCGCGCCCCCAGGCAATGCGACGGACACTAGCACCCCGACGCTGCGCAGCGCGACGGAGGGCAGCAGCTCGACCCGACGCCCGCGCGGGGGACGAGCACCGCCTCAAGTACCGCGTCGCTGAGCACCGCGACCAAAACCGACAGCGCAACGAGGAGCAGCGCGTCGGAGAGCACCAGCTCCACCCCGACGTCCACGAGCTGGACGAGCCCCGCCTTGAGCACCGCGGGCAGCCCGACCCTGGCGTCAACGAGCGGGACAGTTACTGCCTCGCTCGAGCACCACCTCGCGGTGCAGCGCGACAGGCGCTAGCATCTCGATGAGAGCACGTCGGAGAGCAACAACTCGACCCACGCCCGCTGGCGGGGCGAGTGCTACCTCGAGAACCGCACCGCTAAGCTGCGCGAACAGAGCCGACAGCGAACCGCTGAGCAACGCTTCGGAAGGCACCAGCTCTACACTGACGTGCACCAGTGGGACGAGCACTGGCTCGAAAACCGCGCCGACCAGCAGCGCGACGGCCGCTGGCATCTCGACGAAGAGCACCACCTCGAAGAAGAGGAGGCCGGCCCTGATGTCCACGAAGGGGACGAGCACTGTCTCATGTAACGCGGCGCTGGTAGCCGCGACTGGCAAGGGCAGCGCATTGTTGGCGAGCGCGCCAAAGAGCAACTCGACCCTGACGTCCACGAGCGGGAAGGCGATGGTCTCGGGCACCGCGTCGCTGAGCAGCTCGACGGGCGCTCGCATCGACGCGCAGCAGCACGTCGGACAGCAGCAGTCCGACTCTGACGTCCACTAGAGGGACGAGTACTTTCTTCAGCACTGCGTCACTCACCACCACGACGGAAAGAAGCATCGCACCGTACCGTTGAGCAGCGCGTCGGCGAGCATCAGCTTCGCCCTGATGCGAGCCTCAGGGGCGAGCGCTGCTTCGAATGCCACGGACCAATGCGACGGGCGCTCGCATCGAGATGTCGGACAGCGCCGTCGATGACCACCGCGGCGGGCGCCGGGCGCCAGCAGCGCGACTGGGTGCGCCAGCGCCGTGGCGAGCACCGGCGGGGCGGCCGCTGCCTCGAGCGCCGCGCCCCTGAGCAGCGCGACGGACACTGGCATCCCTGCGCTGAGCAGCGCGACGGAGGGCGGCAGCTCGACCCGGCGCCCACGCGCGGCAAGAGCGCCGTCTCAAGTGCCGCGTCGCTGAGCACCGCGACCAGGCCCGGCTGCCTAACGCCTAAAGGGAGCAGCGTGTCGGAGAGCACCAGCTCCACCCCGGCGTTTGCGAGCGGGGCGAGTTCTGGCTTGAGCGCCGCGCGCGGCCCGACCCTGGCGTCCACGAGCGATGCAGGCGCTGCCTCGAGCACCACCTCGCGGCGCAGCGCGACAGGCGCCGGCATCGCGATGCTCGGGAACGCGCCAGAGAGCGGCAATTCGACCCGCGCCCACTAGCGGGGCGAGCACTACCTCGAGCACCACGCCGCTAAGCTGCGCGCGCAGGGCCAACGGCGCACCGCTGAGCAGCGCTGCGGAGGGCGCCAGCTCTACACTGACGTGCGCGCCGCGCCGAACAGCAGCGCGACCGCCACGAGCATCTCGACGAGGAGCAGCGCGTCGAAGAGCAGGGGGCCGGCGCCGCGCACCGCGACTGGCACCAGCAGTCAGCGGCGCATCATGGGCGAGCGCGCCGGGGATCAGAACCTCGACCCTGACGTCCACGAGCGGGGCAACTGCGGCCTCGGGCACGCGCCCCCGGGCGGCGCGACGAGCACTTTCTCCGGTGCTACGTCGCTCGCCGCTCGCCCCCGCGACGGGGGGAAGCATGGCACCGTTGAGCAGCGCGTCGGCGAGCACCAGCTTCGCCCTGGCGCGCGCCAACGGAACGAGCGCTGCCTCAAGCACCGCGTCGCTGAGCTATGTGACGGGCAGCGGCGTCTCGACGTCGCGCAGCGCGTCGCTGACCACCACGGCGGGCGCCAGGTACCAGGTGCGCATCGTTGAGCATCGCGACGGGGGGCACCAGCGCCCCCGCGCGCACCGGCGGGGCGGGCGCTGCCTCGGGCGCCGCGCCGTCGAGCTGCGCGACGGGCACCGGCGTCGACGCCGAGCACCGCGTCGAGGAGCATCACATCGACCCCCGCGCTGACGAGGTGGGCGACTACTGTCGCGAGTACCCTGGCGCAGACTGCAACGGCAGGCGCCAGCTGCGCATCGCTGGGCAACGCGACTGGGGGCAGCAGCTCGACGCTGACAATAAAGAACGGGAGCCGCCTCGAGCACTGCCTCGAATGCCACCTCGAGCACTCCGGAAGCGCCTCGCGTCGCGAGGGCCGTCGGGCGTCCTGGTTGGTCCGGCCGGTCTGCGCCCCCCGCTTGCCCCGGCCCCCTGCCTGGGCGCCCTCATTTTCCGGGCCTCGGCGATCCGCGTCGGCCCTCCGACGGCGGGGTGCGAGCTTCGCCCCATTTCCACGTTCCACGCGCCGCACTGGCCCGCCCAGGCTTGCTTGGCTGCGAGCTCCGACCCGCGAGCGCCCACTCAACCTTGCAGCGCACCTGCGGGGGGCACCGCGCCGCCGAGCAGCGTGACGCGCGCCGGCGGGGCGCAGTTGCGCGGCGAGTCGAGGCACGGCAGCTCGACCCTGGCGGGCGCCGCGCGGGGCGAACGCCACCATGTGCACCGCGTCGCTGAACCGCATTACTGCCGCGAACATCTCGACCACGTTCGCGACTGCGAGTAGGCGAGCGCTGCCTCTAGCACCGCGTCGCTGACCACAGCGGCGGGCGCCGGCGGCGCATCGCTGAGCAGCTGGACTGGGAGCACAAGCACCCTGGCGCGCACAAGCGGGACGGGCGCTGCCACGGGCCCCGCGTCGCTGAACTATGCAACGGGCGCTAGCATCTCGACGTCGAGCAGCACGTCGTTGGCCACCACGGCGGGCGCCAGCAGCGCACCGCTGAGCAGCGCGGCTGGGGCCACCAGTCGCCTGTCTTGCACCAGCGGGGCGGGCGCTGCCTCGAGCAACGCGCCGCCGAGCTGCGCGACGGGCTCTGGCATCTTGGCGTTGAGCACCGAGGCGGGGGGCATCAGCTCGACCCTCGAGCCCTCGAGGGGGCCATGGCTGTCTCGCGTGCCACCCTGACGCGCAAAGAGCACAGGCCGCCTGAATCGCACTTCGCCAGGCCCTGACGCAAGCGCCACATCGCGCATGCTAGCGCGCGTGTGGAAAGGCGGCACTATTGTGTCACAGGTGCGGAAACGGGCCCTTGAATGGCCTAATCGCAACACCCGCTCTGCTTTCCGGTCGGGGTCCTCACGGACCGCGCCAGGCCGCGACGGGTCAAGATACACCAACCCCATGTTCGCACGCGGCACCTCCCGCCTTGTGAGGAAGGCCTTCAAGGCGCTTGTAGTTTCGTGGCCTGGACGAACCCGCGTCCGAAGTGGTACGCGTTGTTTGTCTCTCTCTCTCTCTCTCTCGATCTCGCTGTCTCGTTCTCGATCTCGTTCTCTCTCTCTCTCTCGGACTTATTAGTGTATGTCTTTCTTTCTTTCTCTCTCTCTCTCATTATGTCATTACCTCTCTCTCTGATCCCTCTCTCTTGCTCTCTATCTCTCTCTCTATCTCTCTCTCTCTCTTGATCTCTCTCTCTCTCTCTCTTGCTCTCTTGCTCTCTCTCTCACTCTCTCTATGTATATATATATATGTATATATATATATATATATATCGCTCTCTCCCCCTCTCTCTCTCTTCCCCTCCCCCTCCCCCACTCTCTTGGTCTCTATCACCCCCTGTTCCACTGCTTGCTTCTACACCTCCCTGATCAAAGCAAATCGCCCGGGCATCGTTCCTGGATGGGCTTTTGGAGAGAAGGGAACCATCAAGAATTGATTTTCGCTGATCGCCAAATCGCTGAGGATGGGCACTGGAGGGGAGTCGGAGGATTCTAGGCTGGGGCCGAGGATGTTGGCCCTGGCCTTGCCGAATATGATCTTCTTCATACTCGGCGTGTGGAGAAGATCGCGGGCGGACTTTGATCCAACCATCAGGTCCACTCGTCAGGTACGGCTGATCCGTCTTCAATTTAAAATCGACATGAAATGGCGAAACATGACGATCGACACATGATCCGCATGATGATGTCTGTCAAAGCCAGTGCGAAGCCAGGAAAATAGCAGCCAGTGGCGTGATCGCATTTTCATGTAATTCGTAGTCTTTCAGGGTGCGTCGTATGCTCACGCGAAACTTGCCATTGCAACCAACGACACGGAGGGAAGAGCCTGGCTGCTCGGTTGCACTACTGACAGGGACGTAAAATTGACACAAGACGCTGGTGGAATCATCGCGTTCCTGTGGTCGTCTTCGCCAAGCAGACCTCCTACGGCAAGCCCTGCTCCCCCTAAATGCTTGACGTACACATTCAAAATTAGCATGGCGAAGGACCCAACCATATGCAATTATGAATACCGTCGTTGTATGCACTGCATTCGGAGGCGCTCCTTACGGGGCCACGAAACGTGTGAGGGGTGTGCCGGAATAGGTGCGGTGGGCGCATGTGATCGCAGCCATTGGGGCCATCGGTGGAGCTCCCAATGGTGCCGCGAAACGTGTGACGGGTGTGCCGAAATGAGTGCGGTGGGCGCATGCGAGCGCAGCCACTGGGGCCATCGGTGGAGCTCCCAATGGGGCCACCAAACGTGTGAGTGGTGTGCCGGAATTGGCGTGCGTGCCGCATGCGGGCGGTGGCGCTGTGGCCTTCGGAGGAGCTCCCTATGGGGCCACGAAACATGTGAGGGGTGTGCCGGAATGGGCGTGCGTGACGCATGCGGGCGGTGGCACTGGGGCCTTCGGTGGAGCTCCCTATGGGGCCACGAAACGTGTGAGGGGTGTGCCGGATTGGGTGTGCGTGACGCATGCGGGCGGTGGCACTGGGGCCGTCCGTGGAGCTCCCTGTAAGGCCACGAAACGTGTGAGGGGTGTCCCGACATGGATGTGCGTGACGCATGCGGGCAGTGGCGCTGGGGCCTTCGGAGGAGCTCACTGTGGGGCCACCAAACGTGTGAGTGGTGTGCCGAAATGGGTGTGCGTGACGCATGCGGGCGGTGGCACTGGGGCCTTCGGTGGAGCTCCCTTTGGCGTCACCAAACGTGTGAATGCTGTGCTGAAATGGGCGTGCGTGACGCATACGGGCGGTGGTACTGGGGCCTTCGGTGGGGCCCCCTATGGGGCCACGACTCGTGTGAGGGGTGTGCGAATTGGGCGTGCGCGACGCATGCGGGCTGTGCAGGGAGGAGGGGAGGAGGGAAGGAAGGAATGAGGGAACGCGGGGACCGTCTCTTCAAAACGAGGGCCCAACAGCACGGGATGGCTGGAAACACTTATGTGTGCTTTTCCCCCGGCAGCTGGTATCGACCCTCGCGGTGCTCTACACCACAGGACATTGCTCCTCCGAGCCCGCGGGGCGCGCGCGGACAACGCGCTCTCCGACCGTCGGCTCGAGGAGGAGCAGGAGGAGGCAAACTGAGCATCGCGTAAGCGATCACGAGAGGAAACTGAAGTCGGGCCTGTCCCCCTACAGGGGGATTTTCGACGAAAAATTCGCCGGCCCAACGGGCCAGAGGCGTGCTAAGATCTCCAGTAACTGCTAAATAATACTTCTACTTCGCGCGCGCGGGGCGGCCCCTGGGGGTCCCCGGACGAACGGGCGATCCCCGGCAGACTCGGGTCAAAGATGGTTTTCCTCCTGGGCGCCGCCCCCGTGGCCCTCCAGAGAGCCCCAAGAAGGGCCACGAGGCCGCCAAGAGCCCTCCAAGATGGTTCAAGGGTGCTCCGAGATGCCACACGATCGTTCCAAGACGCCCAAGATGGCCCCCAGACGCCCCAAGAGGCCTCCAAGAGCACTCCCCAGAGGGCCCCAAGAGGCAAAATTCATTACTTTTCCTTAGGTTTTGGGCAGATTTTGGCGTGTCCATCTTTTCGGCTTCCCGACGCCCCAAGACGGCCCAAGAGGCCCCCAAGATCGCCCCAAGAGGGCCCAAGAAGCTCCCAAGAAGGCCCAAAGATGGCCCAAGAGGGCTCCAAGACGGCCCCAGAGGCATCCAAGACGGCCCAAGAGGGGCCCAAGAGGGCCCCAAGCGATGCCCCAAAGGGGGAACGCAAAACAAAACTTCGAGCCCTCGGCTTTAAGAAGCCCCCAGGAGGCCTCAAGAGGCCCCTGAGAGGCCCCAAAAGCCCCCAAGAGGCCCTCAGGAGGCCCCCAAGCGACGCTGAAGAGGCCCCCCAGTGGCCCCAAGAGGCTCAGTCATGCGAAATGGGCCGGCGGAATGAGCGAAGCGATTCAATAAAAATAATCCAAAACACATCCAAACATAATCTGGGGACTATTGTTTCAACATGTTTGACCTTTTTGAATATTTGTGGGGTATTTTTTACTTGTCGTCTAAAGTCCCCCTGTAGGGGGACACGCCCGACATAAGGGAAAACAAGGGAAGCTCTCCACAACACGCTTTCCCCGCCGGACTTCGGCAGGGCAGACGTCATTCCGTCCGACTGTGCGCGAGCACCTGTCCAAAAATTAGTGGCGATGGACTCTATCTATCGCTCATGGCTCTGGTCTTGCAGACGGGTTATGATCCAATTGTGTGTGGGTTCTCCAAGCCGGCTCAAACATCGGTGAGCGGGTGAGCGGCGTACAAAGCTCGGCAACAAGTGCGAGCCCCTCGCGGAGCCGCACAAGAGCGCGAGTTGGCGGAGGTTGGGCGAGGGTCTCGGAGGAGAAGGAGGAGGAGGAGGAGGAGGCCCTCAGGTCTACTGGATCCGGGCGCCGTTCAGGGTGTACTTGGCCCCGTTCGGCGCCACGTACACGTCCCGCTCGTCCACGGGGCAGGCAAAGATGAGAAGGGCCAGGCAACCGCACAGGAGGCAGCCGCCGAGGCCAAACATTTTCGTGTTGGGGCCAACGTACTTCTCGTGCACCACGTGGCTGTTCGCGGGGACCCCCGCGGGAACCCAAGCGGCCGCTGCTGGCTCCGGAAGCACCGCCTTGAGCCAGTCGCCCTCGAGCTCGCCCTGCAGCTTGGAACCGAACGTCACAGCTGCGGATGGATCCTTGTCATCCAAGTCCTTGCTGAACCGGCCCTGGACTCCAGGCATCCCCGTGCTCCTCAGCTCGATGTTGTCGACAAGGAACGTGCCTCCCCCCTGGCCGACCACCACCTGCTTGCCGTGCACCATCACTGGTATGTAACGAATCCTCCCCGCGGGCAGCATTTCTTGCGGCCTTGGAGCTGCCTCCGGAAGCACCGCCTTGAGCCAATCGCCCTCGAGCTCGCCCTGCAACTTGGAACCGAACATCACAATTGCGGATGGATCCTTGTCATCCAAGTCCTTGCTGAACCGGCCCTGAACTCCAGGCATCCCTGCGCTCCTCAACTCGATGTTGTCAACGAGAAACGCGTCTCCCCCCTGGCTGACCACTACCTGTTTGCCGTTCACATTCGCTGGTATGTAACGAACCTTCTGCGACCAATTCGGCTCAGGAGAAACTCGGGAGCTCATCTGGTAATAGGACGGCTTGGTGTCGGGGCAAGTTGTGGCGTGAACTTGGCAAAAGCCAGCTGGCCTGAACAGTAGCGGCTTGAGCCAAAATAGCTACGGACGCCACACCGCCATTCTTGGGACTTCAACGCCGTGGGTCAACGTTACTGTTGCGCCCTGAGGATCATGACTCGTGCGAGAACTCCGTTGGGACGTCGACACCGCGCATCAACGTTACGGATGCACCCTGGCAACCCTAAGTCGTGCCAGAACGCAACCGATACAACATCAACACCGCGAATGAACGTTACTGTTGCGTCCAGACAATCCCAAATCGAGACAGAACAGCAACCCTGGGACTTCCACCATGAGAATATATAAAATATGCCACTGGGGCCTTCGGTGGAGTCTCTCTAGGGCCACGACGCGTGCGAGGGGTGTGCAGAAATGGGGCGGCACTGACAGCCGCTGCGGCCTTCGGTGGTGCCGCCTCCAGCCACGAAACGTGCGAGGGGTGCGCCAAAATGTTGGGTGGAACCGCGCAGCCACTGGGGCCATCGGTGGAGCTCCCTATGGGGCCACGAAACGTGTGGGATGTGTGCCGAAAGGAACGGGTGGAACCGCATGCGAACGCAGCCACTGGGGCCTTCGGTGGAGCGCCCTAGGGGGCCACGAAACGTGTGGGATGTGTGCCGAAATTTGGGTGGAACCGCATGCGAACGCAGCCACTGGGGCCTTCGGTGGAGCTCCCTATGGGGCCACGAAACGTGTGGGATGTATGCCGACATGGGGGTGGGAACGCATGCGAACGCAGCCACTGGGGCCTTCGGTGGAGCTCCCTGTCGGGCCACGAAACGTGTGAGGGACGCGCCGACATGGGGGTGGGACCGCATGCGAACGCAGCCACTGGGGCCTTCGGTGGAGCTCCCTATGGGGCCACGAAGCGTGTGGGATGTGTGCCGACATGGGGGTGGAATCGCATGCGAGCGCAGCCATTGGGGCCTTCGGTGGAGCTCCCTGTCGGGCCACAAAACGTGTGGGATGTGTGCCGACATGAAGGGGTGGAACCGCATGCGAACGCAGCCACTGGGGCCTTCGGTGGAGCTCCCTAAGGGGGCCACGAAACGTGTGGGAAATGTGCCGACATGGGGGGGTGGAACCGCATGCGAACGCAGCCACTGGGGCATTCGGTGGAGCTCCCTACGGGGCCACGAAACGTGTGTGGGGGGTGCCGAAATTTGGGTGGAACCGCTTGCGGGCGCTGCCGTTGGGCCTTCGTTGGAGCCCCCTATGGGGCCACGAAACGTGTGAACGGGCGTGCTGAAATGGGGGTGGAACCGCATGCGAACGCAGCCACTGTGGCCTTCGGTGGAGCTCCATATTGTGTCACGAAGCGTGTGAGGGGTGTGCCGAAATGGGGGGGGGAACCGCATGAGGGCGCTGCCACTGGGGCCTTCGGTGGAGCTCCCTATGGGGCCACGAAACGTGTGAGGGGTGTGCTGAAATGGGGCTGGAACCGCGTGCGAGCGCTGCCGCTGGGGCCTTCGGTGGAGCTTCCTATGGGGCCACGAAACGTGTGAGTGGTGTGCCAACATGAAGGGGTGGAACCGCATGCGGGCGCTGCCGTTGGGGCCTTCGGTGGAGCGCCCTAGGGGGCCACGAAACGTGTGGGATGTGTGCCGAAATTCGGGTGGAACCGCATGCGGGCGCTGCCACTGCTGGGGCCTTCGGCGGAGCTCCCTATGGGGCCACGAACAGTGTGAAGGGTGTGCCGCGGGAGGAGTGAACGCGGGGCGCAGTCTCTTCAAAACGAGGACCCAACACCACAGGATGGTTGGGAAATAATTGAGGCCAATTCCCGTACGTCCATGAAGGATTTTCGGCTTAACCGGTCCAAGCGCAACCCATTTAGGGGTACCGGCTGCGCTCTGCGATACGCTGCAATGATCTCCTTCAGCCCGCTTGGCCTCTGCCCAAGATCCTGTAGCGTTCACTCGCTGGATATACATGTCCGCGCAACTCTCGCCCAGTCGGCGTGCATGGGCCTGCACACGAAACATGCCATTTTACAGTGCTCATTCCACGGGAAAATATCATAAGAACATGTGTGCCCGTCTGCATCCTCCTCCTCCTCCTCCTCCTCCTCGTCCTCCTCCTCCTCCTCCTCCGCCTCCTTTTCCTCGCCTTCCTCCTCCTCCTCTTCCTCGTCTTCCTCCTCCTCCTCCTTCTCCTCCTCCTCCTCCTCCTCCTCCTCCTCCTCCTCCCTCCTCCGCCTCCGCCTCCGCCTCCTCCTCCTCCTCCTCCTCCTCCTCCTCATCATCCTCCTCCTCCACTCACCATGAACGTCTTGAAGGTGGGGGACGCCAATGGCAGCCACGCCTCCGCAGGCTGCGCCGGCCACGGGCGCCGCGGGATCTGTCGGCTGTGGCGGCGGCCAACCTGGAGGATACGTCGGGCTGGGCGTCGGGCTGGGCGTCAGGAACGGCGTCGGAAAGGCCATTGGGTACAGCGTCGGAAAGGCCGTTGGATACGGCGTCGGGTTGAGCGTCGGGTACGGCGTCGGGTTGAGCGTCGTGTACGGCGTCGGGTTGAGCGTCGGAATGGGCGTCGGATTGGGCGTCGGGTCGGATTGGACCTCTCCCGGGGTGCGCTCTGACCAGGCTCGCGACGCGAATCCAGCGGTGGCAACGAGGGCCGCCCCGGAGGCGCTCAAAAGGGGAAAACGGCCTAAGGGTGGTGGTATGGGTACCTTTTCCCTCCTCTGAGGGCAAGCGCTGAGCCAGGACCGCGCGAGCGTCTGCGGACGGAAAGCCGAGCACCTGGCGGCGTCGCGCCGCGCAGATCTGGGCATCATGGAGGGGCCCGTGTGGCCAGAGAGCCAGGTCCTGGAAGGCAGGGCCCCACTCTGGATGGGTTGTTTATCGAGGGGGGGGGATTAGCCTTCTAACTGAGCCTGCCCAATCCCGCCCCCCTCCTCCACCGCCTCCTCCTCCTCCTCCTCCTCCTCCTCCTCCTCCTCCTTCCCCTCCTCCTCCTCCTCCTCTTCCTCCTCCTCGTCCTCGTCATCCTCCTCCTCCTCCTCCTCCTCCTCCGCCTCCTCCTCCTCATCCTAGCCCTTTCGCCTCGAGGGTTCCGACGTTAGCCGGGCGCACTTCGAAGGGGCGCAGCTCGGCCGAGCCATGGCTTTGCAGGTGTTGCGATGATCAAGACCACCAAAAGGAGAACCAGGCCGTGAATCATTGGATCTTCGGCAAAGCCATCATTCTGAAGGCGAGGGTGACCAAGGCCGGGAATCACAGGATCTTCGGCAAAGTCGTCATGGTCAGGGCATCGTGATGACCAAGACTCGCCAGGTGAAGATGAAAGCGACCAGGTTCGGGGATCATTGGATTTTCGGCAAAGTCGTCATGGTGCAGGCGGGCAATCTCATCCCGAGCGTTGTGAGCATCAAGACCCGCCAGAAGAAGGCGACCGAGGCCCGGAATCATGGGATCTTCGGCTAAGTCGTTATCGTGAAAGCCGGCCTCTGAGCGAGTTCGGCCGTGCGCGGGCGGCGCGGTGTAGCTTGGGCCGTGCTTCGTCGCCACTGCTGGAGCCGTCTCGTTTTTCGGGGTCGTTGGGCCCCCCTTCGTCGCCTCTGCGAGTGCGGCTCGTTTGTGCCTCGGCGTTGGCCTGGGGCTTCGGGGTCGTTGGGCCCTCCTTCGTCGCCTCTGCGGGGTGCGGCTCGAAAATGTGCCTCGGCGTAGGCCCTGGGAACGCTCGGCCTGTGTGCCAGAGGGAGCTCGGAGCTCTCTGCGTCATCAGCGTCCTCAGCGTCCTCAGCGTCCTCCTCCTCCTCCTCCTCCTCCTCCTCCCTCTCCTCGTCCTCCTCGTCCTCCTCGTCCTCCTCCTCCTTCACCTCCTCCACCTCCTCCACTTCTTCCTCCTCGTCCTCCTCCTCCTCCTCCTGCTCCTCCTCCTCCTCCTCCTCCTCCTCCTCCTCCTCCTCCTCCTCCTCCTCCTCCTCCTCCTCCTCCCCCTCCTCCCCCTCCTTCCCGCGACAATACCAGTGCCCCCTGCGGAAAACAGTACGATACCGTGGGTCAGCACAACACACCCGTCCCCGCGGCAGCACTGCACCCCCTGGCGGGGGCACGGCAGACGACCCCGCCTCCGCGACCACACCCCCTGCGGGGCACAACATAAACTACTATGCCGTTTGCGCCTGACCCTGCCCTGATACAGGTCGAGATTGATTCTGAACCCCCCTTGCTAGGGAAAGGGGCAGCGACATAAACAAAACAAATCTGAGGTCCGCGCGGATTTCTCGGATCGGCGCTGGGGCTCCTTGGCGGCGCCTCCGGCGCCGCCCCTGGCGCGCTCGGCGCGCCAGGGAGGGGGGTCCAGCGCGGATCCAAGAATTCCGCGCGGACCTCCGAGTTGTTATGTTTATGCTATTTTCCGTTCCCCTAATATCGAAGATGTTCTTGAACCCCCATTGTTTGCCCACGTCTAGTATGCTCGCCCAACCTGGTTTCCCGCATTATTTGTAACAACGATGCTGTTGCCAGATGTGTAAGGGTTCTACTGGACAGAGAAGCTGCTCGCCCCAATCGAGGTGCAGGACCACGAAGAGGTCTCAGTCGCGGGAGGCATCATCAAATCTCCCGTCGCGTAAAATATTTGACCCCGCATGGAGAGATACTGCGTTTGGCACACTGGACCAATCACCCTATCAACCACACGATGCAGGGTACCTTCTGGGCCGCCATCCGACAGATCGAAGTTGGTTCAGGGGGACGTAAGACCTGGGTACAGGGGACTCGGAAATCCCCGACGAGGTCGTCAAAAAAATGACGAGGCCGAACCTGCATTTTGACGAGGCCTCCCGCTGCAGACATCCCACGAAACTCCTCCTCGTCAAAATCCGAGACGCGGTCGTCAAAAAACGATGGCGAACCCGAGTCCTGGCAAACCCGGGTCTTACGCTCCCCCGATTGGTTGCTCCCGCGAACGCGAGAAGAGCTAGCAAATGAAGTATC